CAGGCTGGCTCACTGCCCTCCTCATGTTCCCACAGCATTCTGCCCCCGTATGTTCACTTCCTGTAGTAAAAGTGCGTATTTGTGCAGCTGTCATCCCCTGCTGGATTGTACCTTTGGGGGCAAAGCCTGTGTCTTACTGTTCATTTTGCCCATTGACATCTAGTACCAAGCCTGGCAAGCCATTGGCTTTAGTGAATTTTGTCAAACTGAACTGACGAGAAGGAGAATATTCAGGTGGGAAGTCCCGTCAGGCAGCTGGGATACCCCAAAAGCCTGGAGACCAGGCAGCTTTGCCAAATGGTCAGTCTGTCCTGTCAGGGTGGATGGGTCCGTGCTATTGCTTCTAAATCTACAGAAAATTGGAAGCTGACGAGGAGCCATGGACATTCTGTAACAAAGTTGGACATCTGAGTAAAATGGAGTGGTTAAAGCCATAAATTTTATGTCATCTCTGTGTGAGTTCCGGACCGCCTACTTCCTTGCTTTATATTTTGATTAAATGACTTAATTAAGACTTAGTTTCCCAAAATGGAAAACAGGGATAAAAATAGTACTAATCTCATAGGATCATTATGAAAATTAAGTGAGGAAGAGTTTAGCGTTACACACACACTAAGCACTTATGTGTGTTAGTGACTGTTATTAACATCTTCATTATTTGGGGTGATATTGGCGTTCTCAAGCTGAGTCATATCCCTGAATACGCATTAGGGCTGATTAAGAACCACGGAAGATCATTTGGGTCTTTAAGGAGCTGGGGTGGACCCCTACTAGGTTGGGATCTGCCTCCGATGTGTCCGGGGCCAGGGGTAACAGCATTGAAAAGTGACCATTGGCCAGGTCATCCACAGTGTCCACGCTCCTCCTAACCATCTCGGGCAGAAACCATTGCCTGGCAGGGCCAGAAGGAACAATTGGGAATTCACAGGCCATTTTCCACCTTCAATTCCAAGGACTTAAGTACCTCCTAGTCGCCTTCCTGCCTTATTTTCTTTCATCTTTTCCTTCCGTTCATTCATTTTCTGTCTTCTTAAAGTCGGCCCCGATTCTGACCACGTGACAGCATATTCCCTACAGAAACCCATTGCCACAGGTGTTTGCAAGACCTAGGAGAGCAGGGGCGCCTGGGTGGTTCAGTGGGTTAAGCCTCTGCCTTCGGCTCAGGTCATGATCCCAGGGTGCTGGGATTGAGCCCTGCATCGGGCTCTCTGCTCAGCGGGGAGCCTGCTTCCTCCTCTCTCTCTGCCTGCCTCTCTGCCTACTTGTGATCTTTCTGTCCAATAAATAAATAAAATCTTAAAAAAAAAATGACCTAGGAGAGCAAAGACACACGATCTTCCTAATTCTCGTGCCGCGTAAGATGAGTGGGGGTCCTTGTCTTCTGTTGGTTGGGACGACTCTACTGCCTATGCGTTCCGTGTCCATTGACCACAGAAAGCCAGCTCTCCTCCCTAACCTGTGGATGGCCCACCCCCTTCAGGATGGCCAGCCCATGCAGCTGCCACCTCCCATCACCAGGCGGGCTCTTGATCACAGAGCTGCTCCAGCTGCGCCCACCTTCTGTCTCCTACTGCATGGGGCTTTTCAGAATCCACAAAATGGAGGGTTTGCAGAGGTCAAGGCAGGGTGCCAAGATCCTTCTCTGTCCACAATTCTCTGGGGCTGGTGAGTGCCAAACCTGTGTGTGTGTGGGGGGGGGTGGTTCTCTGTGTACATCGCAGATTATGAGAGACTTTTCAGCCTCTGACATGGATACCAAACAGTTTCAGCCGCCCCCCTCTTCCGCCGTCAGCCTCATAACCTCTTCTGAGTGAGGTCCAAGCCCCGAGCACGTGCTGTGATGACGCCCGGTACCTGGACTAAGGGGAAGGCGGCCTCAGCACTTGGCTGCCGTTCTGAGGAATATGAAACCAAGTTAATCCACGGAGCTCTTTGGAAGGGAGGCCTTCATGATTACAGTATGCACCCGGGCGCACGGTGTCCTGAGGGGAATTTCTCTTTGAGTACCAGCCTTGGGGATTTTGAGAGGTCATACATAGCCTCTGAAATCTCGTCAGGATTTGTCTGTGAGATCTATTTTTTCCTGAAGCAAATGGCTGTAATTCGGGTCATAAAGTGGCTTTAAAGAAGGCCGATGTCTGAGTGTATTACTCAGCTCAGGCGGCCGTAATAATGCCATAGACTAGGCAGCTTAAACAATAGAAATTTATTTTCTCACAGTTCTGGAGGCTGCAGTGTCCAAGATCAAGGTGCTGGCCAATTCGTTTTCTGGTGAGAGCTCTCTTCCTCGCTTGCCAATGGTTGCTTTCTCACCGTGTGGTGGGGGAGAGAGCGCTCTCTCTTTTCCTCTTCTTGTAAAGCCATCAATCCTATCAGAGTAGGACCAACTCTTATACCCTCATTTAACTTTAACTATCTCCTGAAAGCCCTGTCTCCCCATATAGTCACACTGGAGCCTAAGGTTTCAACATATGAGTTGGGGGGAGGGGACACAATTCAGCTGATAGCACTGAAGAAGCTTCCTTAGTGGCTGTATTTATTTGTTCCAAAAACATACCATTTACTGAGCACTTACTAACTGACTACTTAGGATACCAAATACGGGATACAGAATAAACATAGTCTTTGCCTTGATTTCATCCAGAGTTTAATGGCTGAGCTAGACGTTAATTATATAATCCCATAAATATCTAATTTCAAAGTTTTAAAACTGCTATGAAGGAAAGTCGAGTGTGATGAGAGGACATAACAGAGAAAGTTGACTGTCTTAAGGAGTGAGGATAATTTTTTCTGGGACAGTGACACTTAAGCTGAGATCTAAAGCATTGTTAAGGGTGTGGGTACCAAGGAGAAACACTCATTTCAGGCACATGTGGTTGGTGTTGTGTGCAAAGGTCCTGAGGTAGAAAATAATTTGGTTATCTCCAGGGCCTGATATGAAGCCACTGTTGCTGAAATATGGTAGGAAGGAGAGGGGCAGAAGATGAAAGAGGAGAGGAGACTTTGTAGGTTACAGTAAAGAGTCTTTGTATTAAGAATAAAAGGAATTGGGGCGCCTGGGTGGCTCAGTTGGTTTAACATCTGCCTTCAGCTCAGGATATGATCCCAGGGTGCTGGGATCCAGCCCCACATTGGGCTCCTTGCTCATCGGGGAGCCCCCTTCTCCCTCTCCCTCTCCCTCTGCCTGCCTCTCCCTCTGCCTATACTCTCTCTCTCTGTGTCAAATAAATGAATAAAATCTTAAAAAAAAAAAGGGGATAAGAGGAATCTACTGCAGGGCTTCAAATAGGGACGTGACAGTATAGGTCTGGGGTTTTTAGAAAAGGTGACTGTTGCTGTATAAGGAAATGAAGTGGGGAAGGGTGAGAATCGGAGTGGGGAGTTCAGTGAGGAGGTCACTGCAGTAGATTCACTAAGTGAGGGGTGATGGCGGCTCTGACGGTGCTTGTAGAGATGAGGGGAGAGTCTGGGTGCTGAGTAGACAAGGGACAGGAGTGAAAGGGAGAGCTGCAGATGAACAACACTCATTGCCCAGCACACATAACCCGGCGGATGGAGGTGCTATTTTCTGAGATGGGAAGCAGTGGAGATGGGAAGCAGTGGGGACAGGACCTGAAACCCTGTAAGGTGCTATGCAGATGAAATTAGCATGCTTTTGTTACTCAAGGAACCCCGCAGGGCTATAGCAGAGGTGGTAATGGGCAAATAGCTTTTTGTTTTTTAACGCTATGGCACGGTTATGGGCATCCTCATTGCATCTGAATGAGGTAGTGATTGGAAAGATGAATCCATAGTTTCTGCTGAATTTCTTCCCATTCTCCTGAATTCATGCTCACCTCTTAGTGGTCCCAGCCAGCAGGTGGGGCTGCATTTCACCCCCAAATCTTGTCTTGAGTTTTAAAAAAATGCATTCGAGAGCCACTTGCATGTTTTTTTTTTTTAAAGATTTTATTTATTTATTTGACAGAGAGAAATCACAAGTAGGCAGAGAGGCAGGCAGAGAGAGAGGAGGAAGCAGGCTCCCTGCTGAGCAGAAAGCCCGTTGTGGGGCTTGAACCCAGGACCTGGGATCATGACCTGAGCCGAAGGCAGTGGCTTAACCCACTGAGCCACCCAGGTGCCCCTTGCATGTTTTATTAATAGTGATTTCTATCACTTGGCCCTTTCAGTGTCTGGGTTTGGAATTCGAGTGGCTGGATGATTTTCATCTTCCTGTAACTGAGTGTCTCAATGGTCCCATAAGAATGTTTTGCTAGCGGGCTAAGGAGGCTGTGAACTGGGGCTTGAGCACAGCTTATAGGGGCCTTGGCTTAGCTATCCTGCAGGGAGCATCCGTGACGCTGTCTGTCCTCTTGATTTCCCAAGAAATGTCAGAATTACAGCTTGCCTGTAGAAGTTTTGCATTCGGGGAAGGAGTTTTTCCCAAGTGGGCTCAATTGCATGCAGAGTGATGTGTTCTATTTCCGGGGGAGTAACCCATGAGAAAAGTTCAGCTCCATCTGTACTCTTCTGGCACACGTATGTCATGCAGAATTCTTGAGTATGACAACAGCGGGGGGGAAGAAGCCCCCAAACCTAGAAACACTATAAGAATGAAGATTTGGGTCATGCTTGGCCTATTTTCAGTTGATTCTTGAGAACTCTCGCAGATAACAGCGGGGTTTGGACACAGGACTGGAAGGATATCACTTATGTTTTCATTACCAACATTCCCAGCTCTTTTAAGCCATTCTTCAGCTGAGTCTCCACCAGATGGTCCTGCGGACAGAGTTGCTCTTTGTGCCTCCCATTGACATCATTTTTTCCGAGTGAGAGACCGCCCCATGTGTTAGTGCCGTATGTCGCTCAAGGTGAAACACCAATTTGTATTGGTGGGAACCTACCATTTGCTGTCCCCCTTTTTCTCATGCCTTTCCCTGCCTCTCTGGTCTTTTCTAGGTCTCTGGCCTGTCAGGAGGACCCTTGGCGCTGCAGTGGAAGCCAGCGGCTAAATCTCGTGTATGGCGTGGTTAAGGTTGCAGCCTCTCACCTCCGCCTTCCTCCATTTTGGGCTGATTACTTTTGTGCTCTTCCTGAATGGTCTTCGGGCAGAGGCTGGTGGCTCAGGGGAGGTGCCCAGCACAGGGCAGAACAATGAGTCCTGTTCCGAGTCCTCAGACTGCAAGGAGGGTGTCATCCTGCCAATCTGGTATCCGGAGAACCCTTCCCTTGGGGACAAGATTGCCAGGGTCATCGTCTACTTTGTGGCCCTGATATACATGTTTCTTGGGGTGTCCATCATTGCCGACCGCTTTATGGCGTCTATCGAAGTCATCACTTCTCAAGAGAGAGAGGTGACTATCGAAAAGCCCAATGGAGAGACCAGCACCACGACGATTAGGATCTGGAACGAAACGGTCTCCAACCTGACCCTGATGGCCTTGGGTTCCTCTGCTCCTGAGATCCTTCTCTCTTTAATTGAGGTGTGTGGCCATGGGTTCATTGCTGGTGATCTGGGACCTTCTACCATCGTGGGCAGTGCAGCCTTTAACATGTTCATCATCATTGGCATCTGCGTCTACGTGATCCCCGATGGAGAGACTCGCAAGATCAAGCACCTGCGAGTCTTCCTCATCACTGCTGCTTGGAGCATCTTTGCCTACATCTGGCTCTATATGATCCTGGCAGTCTTCTCCCCTGGTGTGGTTCAGGTTTGGGAAGGCCTCCTCACTCTCTCCTTCTTCCCCGTGTGTGTCCTTCTGGCCTGGGTGGCAGATAGGCGACTGCTCTTCTACAAATACATGCACAAAAAGTATCGCACAGACAAACACCGAGCAATTATCATAGAGACAGAGGGCGACCACCCCAAGGGCATTGAGATGGACGGAAAAATGATGAATTCCCACTTCCTGGACGGGAACCTGGTGCCCGTGGAAGGGAAGGAAGTAGATGAGTCCCGCAGGGAGATGATCCGGATTCTCAAGGATCTGAAGCAGAAACACCCAGAGAAGGACTTAGATCAGCTGGTAGAGATGGCCAATTACTACGCTCTTTCCCATCAACAGAAGAGTCGTGCCTTCTACCGGATACAAGCTACCCGTATGATGACTGGCGCAGGCAATGTCCTGAAGAAGCACGCGGCGGAACAAGCCAAGAAGGCCTCCAGCATCAATGAGGTGCACACCAGTGAGCCTGAGGACTTTGTCTCAAAGGTCTTCTTTGACCCGTGCTCTTACCAGTGCCTGGAGAACTGCGGGGCCGTCCTCCTGACGGTCGTGAGGAAAGGGGGGGACATGTCCAAGACCGTGTACGTGGACTACAAAACAGAGGATGGTTCTGCCAATGCCGGGGCGGACTATGAGTTCACAGAGGGCACTGTGGTTCTGAAGCCAGGAGAGACCCAGAAGGAGTTCTCAGTGGGCATCATCGATGATGACATCTTTGAGGAGGATGAACACTTTTTTGTGAGGTTGAGCAACGTCCGCGTAGAGGAGGAGCAGCCAGAGGAGGGGATCCCTCCGATAGTCCTCAATAATATTCCATTGCCCCGGGCCATCCTGATATCCCCTTATGTGGCCACAGTCACCATCTTGGATGATGACCATGCAGGCATCTTCACGTTTGAATGTGACACTATTCATGTCAGCGAGAGTATCGGTGTCCTGGAGGTCAAGGTTCTGCGGACATCAGGTGCCCGGGGCACGGTAATCGTCCCCTTTAGGACAGTAGAGGGGACAGCCAAGGGTGGTGGTGAGGATTTTGAAGACGCATATGGGGAGCTGGAGTTCAAGAATGATGAAACAGTGTAAGTAATCTTTCCATATTCTAGCCCCCTCCATCCCTTGCCATCTCTTTCTGTCCTTACAGTTCTTCCTCATACCGCGTCAACGTCAAACTTGGGTCCCAGCACCGGTGTGCAGGATTTTTCAGCAGGCACCCCCGGCAGGGTCCATTTCCAGACCTTCCTTCAGTTTTCTCACTTTAAATGGTCTCTGGGCAGGGAATTCCCTGGCAGGATCGAAGGATGCAGAACAATCCGTCCACTGGAACTCAGAATGATATGGCCAGTGGAGATGTGGGGCGACAGAAGTTTTGATGTCAGATTTTGGAGAATTCTTGTGACTAAGCAGGAGCTAGGAGGCCCGTTGGTTCTTTTCTTCCTCTCCTTCTCACACCAGAGGCTCATGTGAGCCTTGAGGCTGAGCCTTTCCATCCTGAGGCAGAGCCAGCCCAATCAGGGCATCCTTGGGGAAGCAAGTGGCACTGGGTTTCCCCCCCCCCCCCAGGGCCATCTTGAGGTTGTATTGTATAACCAGATTTCAGGCATCTCTCCTTCAATTTGGAAATTGCAAGGTTGGTTGAAACTTGGCAATCTCTGTAAATGCCTGTAGGCTGTTTTATGGTATGAGACTTGCCCAGGCTAGGTGAGATGAATCAGTTGGCTTGGGTATGGGACACATCTTGCAGAAGCAGAACTCCCAGAGCAGTGGCCACCTGTCTTTGGTCCCAGATGTGAGCTCTAGAATCTGACTAAGGAACATAGCAGGCACCTCTCGGGAATTGCGGGAGAAAATACACCTTTGGTGTGGTCATCTCTTTTCACGGTCTAGAATTCTCCCAGAAGACTTCTCAGGTTCATGGCCCATTTCGCCCTTCAGACATGGTGTGTGTTTTGCACTTCCATGACCTTGATCACTGTAAGAGCGCTCCCCAATGAACCTTCCTGTACTAGGTGTTCTGGGATTCATTTTGTTTTGTTTTGTTTTCGTTTTTCTCAGATGGATAGCTTTGAAGAAGAAAAAGAATGACTTTCCCCAGAATTTGCAGTTTACGGGAAGCCAGACTTTCCAGGGTGGCCAAGGGGAGGGCAGGAACTTGTCTCTGAATTCTTGCTCATATCCACAAGCAAGAAGCCATCACAGGAGGGGGCGTGAAGGACAAAAGGGGCATCTAGGAAGGGGGGATGTCAAACTGCTCCAAGAGCCTGCTAAAGACACTGGGAGTGGGAAATGAAAACATACAACTTGAAGGAGAGTGAAGAATGGAACACACAGAGAGGGGAGCCCCTAGGGCTGAGGGGAGGGGTCTCAGAAGCGCTTCCTCCAGGCCCAGGCAGGGGGCAGGGCTCCCAAGGGGTTGGAAGGTGCTGAGAGTAGAGTGGAGTGAGCCCCCCCCCCCCCCCGGGGGGGGACTGTGCTCTTGTCCTCCCTCAGTCTCTTCCTGGTAACGTGACTCTGGGCAAGACGTTTAGTCTCAGCTTGAGAACTAAACTGTCTCATCTGCAAAGTCGGAACAACCATACTTTCCTTGCCTGGAGGCAGGGTCGGATCTTTTTGTGGATCCCACCCAGCTCTAGGATTTTCTGTACCATAGATATGGGCACGCAGCTTAGGTCCTATTTGCACCAGCCAAATACGGAACAGGGATACTGTCTCTTGAAGTGAAATAGCCATCGACAAATTGATTGATTAGAGCTCTGTGTAGTCATTTCGCTGGGAGGGATAATCATTCGTTTACCCAAGTAAAAACCTACATCTTCTGGAGAATACTGTCCAACTGTCCATTTCTGTGTGCTCTGGAGAGAGGGTTTCTACATACAAATGAAGGACAGCCCTTGTTGGGAAGACAGACTCCATGCAACTTCTTTATGTTTATGGCAATGTCAGTATGTAAGAAGTTATTGTTGGGCGTTAAATGACATCAAAACTCCAGCACTGGCTGTAATTTGAGGGACTAGTGGTTTCTCGAATTCGGTACCTACCTATCACAGGCACTGAAGAGTCCTTTTGGACAGGTCAGGAGCTTGGCGCCCCATTTCTTTGTCCCATTAACAGTTGTGTACTTTGGATCTCTGAGTATGACTAACCCTTCCTCAAGCCTATTTGTGTTTTCGGCTTGATTAATATCTTGGTGTAAATGGGCTTCTGAACGATCCCTTCTGATAGCGGTTTTAAATATAGCTCGAGCTCCACACGTCTGCCATGCGGGCCCAGCTCTTCCAGGGCTCAGGGAACAGGCTAGGTTGCCAGCTATTTTTTAGGCATGAGTAGACCTCAGCCTACCTTTTTGGTTTTCTTCATTGGAGAAGAATGAGTCCATAACCTGCTAGTCACCTGTCTTTGCATCGCAGCCCTACCCTTCTTACTTTAGGTTGTGATTTTATGAGAGGCAGTGGGAGGTAGCGGAAAAAGCATGGGCTGTAAATACTCTGGGTTACGATTCTGGCTCTAGTTCTGATTTCTCCAGGTAGCCAGGGGAAATTTTATTAATTTATGAGATTATTTCCTCATTGGTAAAGTAGGGATAATACGATTTCTCTTGCAAGGCTGTTGTGATGATTCAAGATACTGTATGCTGTGTTGTTTGTATATGGTAGGTACTTAGGAAGTTAATAGGCCATTAATAATAATATCAGTGAGTTAACAATATTCTTTAGAAGACACTGTTGAGGAGATTTGGGCTACTTGGATCGTTCTGTGACCCTAATTCATTAACTTGCTGGTTTTGGGGTGACTGTGAAGATTCCTAATCCAGATTCCTAAAATATTAGAGCCAGAAAAGACCTTAGAATAACTTCTAGTTATTGTGTTTCTCAAATTTTAACGTGCTTCTGAACCATCCAGGAAGCTTGCTAAAATGCAGATTACAGTTCGAAAGGTCGAGAAAAGGGCCCGAGATCCGGCGTTTCTAACAAGCTCCTGATGCCTTCGGTCCCAGCTTAGAGCTGAAATGCTCTAAAGCCCTGGGCCAAACCCTGAGACCAGGGAGGGAAAGTGAAGTTTCCGAGGACTTGCTTAACTGAATCAGGAAGGCTTGCGTTCCAGTTCCAGCTCGCGACTCCAGCTTAGCCAGAACCCGGCTTCTGCTGAGACCTTGCTGGTTGTAGCACCAGTCTGGAGGCTGAAATGGACACCCCCCGACGTACCTAGCCGGAAGCTGGGTGAGGCCTGGAGCACTTCCACCTTCCAGTCCCTCCCTCTCCCCGTAACTTGCTTTGCTCACCAAGCTTGGGAGCGCTGGCAGTGTCGCCCTCAGTACGCGCTTCTAAAAACCTACTCAGGTTGGAGCCAGGCCTGTGCTCTGCCGATACCATTGGGCCGTGAATTCACTTGTTTGGTTTTAGGCTTTACTTCTTCAAAGATGTCCTTAGCACCACGGGAGGATAGAAAACCCACAAACTCTGAGGTCTGACACACAGATGTGCACCTGTCACTCCCCAGCTGTTTAACTTGAACAAGTCATTTCACCTGTCCAGGCCCCAGATACTCGGTTGGAATGTCAGGAACAGCGCTCTTTCTTCTGCAGGGGAGTGGTAAGCATACATGCAAACATGAAGACAACGCTCCTGCAGCCCCGTGCCTGCTCATGGAAGGAGCTCAGTCATTCAACAAACACTTATGAGATGTCTGCTATGTACCAGATGCATTCCTGGGGACGGAGATAGATACATGAGTAAGACAGGTGGGCATTTCAGCTCTCAAGGATCTTCTCCAGTGAAGAGGCTACTAGGTATGCAGACAGATCAAAACACCCGGGAGAAGTGCTCTGGTTGAGAGACGCTCAATAAAAGAGAAATGAAAGCTGTCCGCTGTGTGTGTGACACCACAGAAGCTTCTACAGCTTCTACCTCCTTCGCGGAGGACGTGGCAGTGACGCAGACAGAGCGGGGGTGGGCGCCTGACGCCCTTAATCCCACATTCCAATAAACGCTTGACATTTGAGAGAGAGCCTGTTGACATCTTAATGATCTAGAAGAATCCCCACCTCTCTGACTACCACTACAGTACATCCTTAGAATTACGGCCTCCTGCAAACAATAACAAAACCTCATGGAGATACAGGGGTGTGCTGCTGGCCCGTTCATCTCCCTCCCTAAACCTGCATCTGCTCCTGTATCCCAGACTCAGGGGTGTTTCTGCAGAATAACAGAATATTGCAGCTCACAGATCTTTGGGATCTCTCTCTGAGAATAGTCAGAATCTCCAATGTCAAAGAGGCAAAGGCCAAAATCTAGCACAATTAAATGGCATAGGCCTCTGTAGAAGAGAATAGCGTATTAGCTGTGCCTCATAGCTTCCCGTCCAATTAGAATGTTAAAGCCTGAAAGTATCTGACCTCCAGCTGTTCTAAATTATGAAGCTGAGATTCAGAGAGGGAAAGTGACTTCTCCGATATCACACAGCTAGACAGGTTAGAAAGTTAGAACTGGTGAGGTCTTTTTGGAGCCTACTGATTTAACGTCTCCCCCTCCCGGTTTGGACTTTCTTATTTTTAACCATCGGAACTCTGTTAACTTTGGAAAGGTGCTCGGGAAGTACAGATCCAACGGTATGACATGACTAATATCCTAACTTAGAATAATAACATTATGGACTATTTTTAATCTCTTGGCTCACCTTGAGACTGTTCAGGAAGAAAAATATTGAACCCATAGAAATTAAAAAAAAAAAACAAAACCAACCACTGTCTTCATGATCTCTTCCTGAGAAAAGGTGTGACAAGCATAGCTGGGATGTCTTTTAGACAGTGCTGGTAACTTGGAGACGGGACCTCCATGAAATAATGACATTCTTTCAAAATTCTGCAGGCCATTCTCTTCCAGGTGTGCTTTCTCTGTAAAGTTTCCACCCCGGGGAATCTTTCCATCAAAATCTGGCGTGCTCCAGGACACAGTTTACACCTTCTCCAATTTAACTGGAACACAGTAGGCCTTTTCTTTCTCTTTGGCTCAGCAGGGTGTTCGGACAGTCTCTTCCCTTGCCATCCGGGAGATTATTTGACCCTAGAATGCCCTTCTGTGCTTGA